TGGAGAGAGAGAGGGAGAGAGAGAGAGAGAAAGAAAGCCCATAGAAGGGAAGAGTTAAAAGTATGGAAAGAGACCGAAAGAGTTAGATATGACACGAAGAGAGAGAGAGAGAGAGAGAGAGAGAGACCAATAGAAGGAGAAGAGTTATAGAAGGTATGGAAAGTTGCCAAGATATGAGAGAGAGAGAGAGAGAGAGAGAGAGATACAAATAGCAGATGGTTAAAAAGTAAGGAAAGGGAGTCTACATGGATTGATATGTGTGTGTGTGTGTGTGTGAGAGAGAGAGAGAGAGAGAGAGAGAGAGCAACCAATAGAAGGAGAAGGTTAAAAAGTATGGTAAGAGATTGAGATAGATATAACAAGGAGAGAGAGCAAGAGCGCGCACTGGAGAGAGACAGTGAGAGAATGTTGGAGAGAGAGAGAGAGAGAGAGAGAGAGAGAGGAGAGAGAGAGAGAGAGAGGAAGCAAGTGAGAGACACCAAAATGATTATTATTTCAACAAAGAATAAAATATTTCTCTCTCATTCTCTCTCTCTCTCTCTCTCTTCCTATCATATCTATCTATCTCTATTTCTTTCCATATTTTAACCTTCAGCTTCTATTGGTCTCTCTCTGTCTCTCTCTCTTTTTATGCTACAAAACCAACAAACAAAAATATTGGCAAAACCAATACAAATCTGGCCACGCAACCAAAGAAAATAAAAATGAAGACAAAAGCAATAACCCCAACCCCCCAAAAAAAAAACAAAAAACAAACAAAAAAACAAAAAAAAAAAAAAAAACAGGAGAAAACACGATAAAAAAGGAAAATTCCGAAAATGTGTTTCCCGGCTGGAATCAAACCTGTGTCTTCTTTTACTTTACTTTTTCGAATGCACAGGTTATAGACGTAATATACACTGTTTAATGAATAAAAGTGACCAAATGAAAAAAAAAAAACCCCAAAAAACCCAAAATAAAGAACAATCAAAGTCAGACAACGATATGGACAGTAACAAAAGAGTGCTCTATGTCTGAATGAGCAAGACAGAGCAAATATGCTACTCAGTAATATTACTCAAAAAGAGACAAAGTTTCAGACTGCTACTCGACTTTCACGCTAGCAAACCATCAGACGTTCTGGTCGCTACACGACCAGAAGTAGTAGTTGTCTCTTATTGAATATATATATATATATATATATATATATATATATATATATATATATATATATAAAATATAGTCTTAAGGTGTGCTATATTTATGGAATAAAGGGCTCAATATCAGAGATAGAGCGTGTGTAAATATAAAAGTGAACATAGAAGTCAACACTTAGAGGCGACAGTCTGTTTCATGCTAGATTGCGTCTAGCATGAAACAGACTATCGCCTCTAAGTGTTGACTTCTATGTTCACTTTATATATATATATACAATATATAATGTCATATAATAAAGAATATATATATATATATATATATATATATATATATATATATATATATATATTATAATGAATCATTCATACAAAAAGTAGATCAGTGAAGTTAATGATATAAAATGGCGAAATCCTTTCGAAAACAAAAAGGTGCATTAACCTCCAAATCACTCTTATGAATGTTATGATCCTTGTTTTTAAAATTATAAACTGTATAAGGTCTTTCGCAAGTACTTTCAACTGTACATTCAGTCATCCTCAGGCATGGAAATTATTTTGTTTTTGGTAAAATCCAGGTAGCATCCGAGACGAAAAAATTAAATGCGAATCGAAAGATGTGTTTTTTCTTTAAATGTGTTATTTTTAACAGATACAAAGTTTTGGAGCATGCAATCACAACGCTAAGGTTGAATTTTTTAAAAAATTTAAGAGACTGCGTTTTTTTTTTTTTACTAATATGGCAATTTGAGAATTTTTTTGTTGTAGGAGTTTATCAGTCAATGTGGCATGAACTAAATAGTTCAATAAATAGAGTAATGTCTCAGTTGTTATCGAAAATTTTAACCTTAGTATAATTTGTGAGATTTCCTAATTTAAGGACAGTATATATATATATATATATATATATATATATTTATATATATATATATTTGTTTTTTTATGCTTGGAAATGTGATCTTAGGAACCAGGAAAAACACCTTCTTGAGGAAATAAAATATAATCAAGAGACCCTTAAGGTTGCTTGTTTTTTTAAAGTTTTAATTAAATTAATATATATATATATATATATATATATATATATATATATATATATATAAGTAAATATTAAAAATTGTAATAACCTCATTTACCACCGCCTGATGAGATGCGATGATATTCATCGTAACATGAATGCATTTATGCAGCAGTTTTACATAATATGACATATAATATCATATAATAAAGAATATATATATATATATATATATATATATATATATATATATATATATATATATATGTGTATAATTTTGATTTTATAATACAGAAAAAATTAGATTAAATCAAATTAAAGTAAATTTATATATATATATATATATATATAT